AAGGCAGTGCCGGCTGTCGGCTAATCAGCCAGTTACAGACTCATTTTCAGCCAGCTACATTTTCCACTTCATATTAACTAGGCCACTTTCCATTTAAAAGTTTCAATTCACTCGTCCGTCGAGCCCTCTCCTGCTAGAATGAACGATATGCATCTTCTAGCGATCTATTTATAGGATAGGCGCCTGTCAGTCACAAAGCGAGCGATGACAGGGAAATGCAGCAGAGAGGAAGAGGCGAAGCGAGAGGTTTCACGCTCGCCAAAATCTGTCCAAAATAAGCCCAATGCGTTTCTATGGTCTTATTTTGGACCTAAGCTTTTCGCCTGCATTCCCACCTTTGGGACAACAACTCCCATTGTTGGGGCGGAGACATGAGCATCTCGTTAATATATACAGATCTCTGGTTGCAGTCGAATTTATTTACACCGAGGAGGGAGAGAGCATGATGCTCGTGAATTTGCACGTCCCATGTAATGTAAGTGATAACGATGAGTCGAAATCCATTCATGTATTTTCTTTCGCATGTTTCACATAGCTAGCCACGCGGAGTGGTGCCGCATAGTAGGATATTTACTTAGCCTAGGCAGCAGATAGTAGCGCTGGAAGCGGAAAAAGATGGCGGAAGCGGACGATGAAGTGGATTCTGAATCTAATGGCGGTAGAATCAAGGAGAATTTCAGTATTGTCCAAAATAATGGAAAACGGAGCTAAGTAGTGTACAGTGATGAGAATGTCCCTTCGTATCTAGTAGGAGTGCGGTTTGTTAATGAGTAGCAGCTGAGCAGAGTACCAATCCTGAAGAAACCATTTGAGATATCCAAACTGGTCGAGAGAGTGCTGGGTATAGTGAAGGCTGTGAGGATCACGAGAGGAGGGCTTGTTTAGATTTTTTGTGCTTCTGCGGATCAGAAGGAACGTGCGTTGCGTCTCACCCGATTTGATAAGTTTGAAGTGTGTGTCTCTTCAGAACACGGCACTCCTCAAGGGGGTTATATCTGGCGTCTCGTGGGAAGTCGATTTTGAAGAGATAAAACATATTCCTGGGTGATTGATGCACATCGGATGAATCGTGTGGTGAATGGTGAAAAAGTGTAGTCTCTGTTCTTTTGTTTTTTGATATGGAGTCTCTCCCTACTCAAGTGCAGTTGGGGTATATAAACTACAGAGTTAGAGCATTTATCCCAAGACCAATGCAGTGTGATCATTATAAAGCTTTTGGTCATGTTTTAAGTGTTTGCAGAAGGGAGAAGCCGAGATGTCCAAGTTGTGGAAAATATCATATCATGTGTTTTAAAAGTGAGGAAAATGTAGCTACATCTTTCTATTGCCTGACAAGGGTGAAAGAGAATGAGGTGGCCAACGTCAGGGCTGTCCAGAGCATTTCATATGCAGCAGCTGTTAAAAGGGTTGAGGGTTTGAATGGTGCTCCTGAAGAGTCCATGGTGGTGGATAGGCCTTCACTGAAGGCTGCAGGGGATGTCTTTCACCAGCAGGACCCTGACATTTGAAAGGTTAAGAAGGTGGACTTTGTGGCCTTTATAGCTCTTGTGATTAATGGCGCTGCCAAGGTGGAGAGAAGATAGATACCATTGTGGATGCGGCAGAGCGGTTCCTGGGACTGAAAGACTTTAAAAAAAGTTATATGGAATATTGTCACAAGCCGTACCACCCTCTGAGGTCATAGAGCCTGAGAAGGGAGATATGGAGATTTGAAGGAAGGAAGAAGTGGGAGTTTGGTTTTGTCAATGTACTATTTTATTTGGGTGGATTAAGTTAGTTTCCCTATCACATATGGATTTTCTTTTTACCTTGTTTTGGTTTTTCAACCCGTCCAGTTGGTGGCGGCAATACACCTTTTTGGGTTGTAGTCTGCCATAAAACCCACAGAAGAAGAAGAAGAAGATAGTTGGCGCTAGATCTGCACTATCTTCTAGGATTGATTTGCATTCCCGGTAATACATGCACTGGTTTCCCCCGTGTACTGTCTCGCACATAAAACATTCTCCATTCAGGCTGAAAAGTCGTAATTTCCCTCCTTCACTATCTTTAATGGCGAGCCGCCGGAAAAGAAATATAAAAATAAGGGTACTGTCTGGTTACTTTTTCTGGCTGGCTACTTTTTCTATTTGGCAGGCTACTATGTACTTGTGGGAAACACTGGGAAAGGTGGGCTGTTCATGCTGGGGGGTGAGTTGTTGACCATTAATGTGGAAGGTGGGCTCTTCTTGTGGTGGGGTGAGTTGTTGACCAGTGATGTGGAAGGTGAGCTCTTCTTGATAGAGGTTGTGTTGTTGACCATTGATGTGGAAGGTGAGCTCTTCTTGATAGAGGGTGAGTTGTTGACCATTGACACGGAAGGTGGGCTCTTCTTGATAGAGGGTGAGTTGTTGACCAATGATGTGGAAGGTGGGCTCTTCTTGATAGAGGGTGAATTGTAGACCATTGACACGGAAGGTGGGCTCTTCTTGATAGAGGGTGAGTTGTTGACCAATGATGTGGAAGTTGGGCTCTTCTTGATAGAGGGGTGATTGTTGACCATTTATGTGGAAGGTGGGCTCTTCTTGATAGAGGGTGATTGTAGACAATGATGTGTCTGAAAATGGAGTTGTAGAGGGAGACAGGTTCGGTAGACCTGATGGATTCTGGTGAGTGGGCGAGGAGAATAGTCGTCTGCATATTGCGGTGCAAATATGTGTTGAGTTGAGGTCTTGGTGGTGGCTTGGAGGCACCGGAGGTTGAATAGATTTTCATCCAGCCGGAACTGCTTTATTTACCCAACATTCATCTCTTCATGGTACAGACGGCTCTTAGGTGCTCGCTCTGGAGGCACGGATGGGCTTGTGTTTAACTAGGTGAGCAGTGGAAATGTCCTTTTATGTTACGCCCGGACTTCCTTTAACTAGGTGAGCAGGGACTGGTCCTTTAGGTGCAGCTTCGTAACTAGGAGCAGTGGACTGGTCCTGGGGGTTAACTAGGTGAGCAGTGGACTGGTCCTGGGGGTTAACTAGGTGAGCAGTGGACTGGTCCTGGGGGTTAACTAGGTGAGCAGTGGACTGGTCCTGGTGGTGGTTAACTAGGTGAGCAGTGGTACTGGGTCCTGTGGGGGTAACTAGGTGAGCATTGGGGACTGGTCCTGGGTGTTAACTAGGTGAGCTTGTGGACTGGTACCTGGGGGTTAAAACTATGGTGGAGCTGGTGGACTGGTCCCTGGTGGTTTAACATAGGTGAGCAGTGGACATGGTCCCTGGGGGTTCAACTATGGTGAGCTGTGGACTGAGTCCTTGGGGGTGTAACTCAGGTGAAGCTTGGGACCTGGCCGGGGGTTAACTAGGTGAGCGGTGAGGGCCTTGTGTACTAGACGCATCACACCACCCTGCGGTGATACCCCATGGCACCTGCGTACACATCACACCCACCCTTGCGGTTGATAAACCCCCTTTGGAACCTCATACCACATCACACCCCACCCTGCGGTTTGATAACCCCCCTGGCACCTCGTACACATCACACCACCCTGCGGTGATAACCCCCTGGCACCTCATACACATCACACCACCCTGCGGTGATAACCCCCTGGCACCTCGTACACATCACACCACCCTGCGGTGATAACCCCCTGGCACCTCGTACACATCACATTTACAATTACGTCATTTAGCAGACGCTCTTATCCAGAGCGACTTACAGTTAGTGCATACATTATTCTTTTTAATTTTCATACCCCGTGGGAATCGAACCCACAACCCTGGCGTTGCAAACGCCATGCTCTACCAACTGAGCGACCTCCCTGCCGGCCATTCCCTCCCCTACCCTGGACGACGCTGGGCCAATTGTGCGCCGCCCCATTGGTCTCCCGGTTGCGGCCGGCTACAGCAGAGCCTGGATTCGAACCAGGATCTCTAGTGGCACAGCTAGCACTGCGATGCAGTGCCTTAGACCACTGCGCCACTCGGGAGACTTACACCACCCTGCGGTGATAACTCCCTGGCACCTCGTACACATCATTTTTACATTTACATTTTAGTCATTTAGCAGACGCTCTTATCCAGAGCGACTTACAGGAGCAATTAGGGTTAAGTGCCTTGCTCAAGGGCACATTTACGTCATTTAGCAGACGCTCTTATCCAGAGCGACTCACCAATTGGTGCGTTCACCCTATAGCCAGTGGGATAACCACTTTACAAATTTTTTTTGGGGGGGGGGGGGGGGGGGTAGAAGGATTACTTTATCCTATCCCAGGTATTCCTTAAAGAGGTGGGGTTTCAAATGTCTCCGGAAGGTGGTGAGTGACTCCGCTGTCCTGGCGTCGTGAGGGAGCTTGTTGTTCCACCATTGGGGTGCCAGAGCAGCGAACAGTTTTGACTGGGCTGAGCGGGAACTATGCTTCCGCAGAGGAAGGGGAGCCAGCAGGCCAGAGGTGGATGAACGCAATGCCCTCGTTTGGGTGTAGGGACTGATCAGAGCCCGAAGGTACAGAGGTGCCGTTCCCCTCACTGCTCCATAAGCAAGCACCATGGTCTTGTAGCGGATGCGAGCTTCAACTGGAAGCCAGTGGAGTGTGCGGAGGAGGGGGGTGACGTGAGAGAACTTGGGAAGGTTGAACACCAGACGGGCTGCGGCATTCTGGATGAGTTGTAGGGGTTTAATGGCACAGGCAGGGAGTCCAGCCAACAGCGAGTTGCAGTAGTCCAGACGGGAGATGACAAGTGCCTGGATTAGGACCTGTGCCGCTTCCTGTGTAAGGCAGGGTCGTACTCTCCGAATGTTGTAGAGCATGAACCTGCAGGAGCGGGTCACCGCCTTGATGTTGGCGGAGAACGACAGGGTGTTGTCATCACACCACCCTGCGGTGATAACCCCCTGGCACCTCATAGACATCACACCACCCTGCGGTGATAACCCCCTGGCCCCTCATAGACATCACTCAAGAGCTGAACAGGGTGCTTTATTGGTGCATCAGTCCCTGACTCACTCTCTCTCTCCACCCCTCTCTCCTCCAGTTGGCTCCCTGAGGCCCAGGTCATCCAGAAAGCTATGAACTCAGCTGCCACTAACGTCTACCAGCACGGTCGAGAATGGATAACATTCAAGGTAAGAGAGAGAACAGGAAAGAGAGGGAGGGGGGTGGATACTTGATTAACACTGGTAAAATCACTGATGGTGTGTGTGCGTGTGTGTGTGTGTGTAGCTCCATAAGATGCTTGGTGAAAAGGGGAACCACACGGCTGTCATAGAAAAGCAGGTTCTGGAACTGTGGGACAGACTGTACCACTCCTGGTTTGTCAAGGTAATGCAGAGGGAGGGGGTGGCCTGGTCCATCAGACCACAGTATAGGGGGGTTCACATGGTCACATCTTTATGTTTGGCTTGAGAATATATAGACTGACACACTCATTACCCCTTACTAACACAGACATACCAGAACTACACCATGTACTCATACATGTCTCACTCTTTCAACACCGTCTGTGTATGTGTGTGCTTACATGTATGTCTGTACGCCGTTTCTGTCTCAGAATGTAACCCATACGGGAGGGCGTAACCGTAGTGGTGGTCAGAAGCTTGTCCAGAGACAGAACAGCTGGCTGGGAGAGATCTTAGACTGGCAGGACATCGCCTCCTTCGCACATGACAATATAGAAACACTTCTCTCTGTGAGTACACGTGTGTGTGTGTGTATATATATATATATATATATATATATATATATATAACGGGTGTATCCTCTGTTGTAGATAGTGGAGTCTCTGTGGGTGGTGATGAGTCGGAACGTTGGGCTGCTGATCTCCACGACGACCACACTCCTCACTGTCCTCTTCCACAGCGGCACAGCTCTACTCAACTTCGCCCTCAGCCTGGTAACACACACACACACACACACACAGCTCTCTCTGTGCCTCCCCCTTCATACCTTAATATTGACACTGGTGTGTGTGTAGGTGATATTCCTGACCACGTTGTTCTACCTGCTGAGTTCCAGTGGAGAGTACTATGAGCCTGTGAAATGGGTGATCAGCCTCACTCCTCTGTCCCAGCCCGGAGCATCCTCTAACATCATAGGACAGTCTGTAGAGGAGGCCATCAGGTACACACACAGCACACGTTTGACATTTGAAATGTTAAAACATATATTTTTTAATTGTGTGTGTTTTAGGGGGGTGTTTGATGCCTCTCTGAAGATGGCAGGGTTCTATGGTCTCTACACCTGGCTGACACACACCATCTTCGGCATCCACATTGTCTTCATCCCCTCTGGTGAGTGTGTTAAAAACTGACTGATCAAATAGAACATCTTAACTTGCTGTTGTTTGCCTGACTAGCCTGGAGATGAGGAAAAACCCTCCTTGTGTCAGAACTATTAGATGAATAACTTGTATAACAGGACTGTTCTGTTCCACTCTTCTGACTTACTATTGTCAAACATGTTCAAAGTGTCCTCTTCCCTCGCCCCCTTTAGCCCTGGCTGCTATCCTGGGTGCGGTGCCGTTCCTGGGGACCTACTGGGCAGCTCTGCCCGCTGTGTGTGACCTGTGGCTGGCCCAGGGAGAGGGGGTCAAAGCCCTGCTACTGCTGGTCTTCCATCTACTGCCCACCTACTTCGTAGACACAGCCATCTACTCTGATATATCAGGGTACGTGAGTGTGTGTGTGTGAGAGAGTGTTTATGTGTACGTGTTTGTGCGTGTTCACTGTTTATGAGATCAGTGCGTAAGAGAGAGAGAAATCTAATCTGTTATGATATTAAAGTAAGTGTGTGTTGATATGTCTTCCCCCCCCCCCACAGTGGTGGTCACCCGTATTTGACTGGTCTAGCGGTGGCAGGCGGAGCATACTATCTGGGTCTGGAGGGGGCGATCATCGGTCCTATCCTGCTCTGTATCCTTGTGGTAGCCTCCAACATCTACAGTGCCATGCTGATGAGTCCCACCTCTGCCCAGCCCACCCCTGTACAGTCTACCTGGCCACTACACCCTGCCAGGTACACACAGACATCATCATCATTACATTTATGTCTGGTTCTTTGTGCCATTTACTTCTAATTTACAAACCCCCCCCTTTCTCTCTCTCTCTCTCTCTCTCTCCTCTCTCTCTCTCTCTCTCTCTTTCTCTCTCTTTTCTCTCTATATCTCTGTCTCTCTCTATCTTTCTCTCTCTGTCTTTCTCGCTCTCTCTCTCTCTCTCAGGCCCTTCATGGACACCACTCCCTCGGTGCTGAAGAGGGCGAGCGAGTGAGAGGGGGTGTGTCTCCTGGTTTCTCATTGGCTGGGTGCCTGTCCCTTGGCTTCCCATAGGCTGATTACCTGGAGAAGCGCCCTTTCCTCCCCCGTGCTCCTCCCGAGCTCTACGGGGTCTCCCAGGCGGAGTGGCAGGGTGTGAGGGGAGGTTACCCACGATGCCATCTGCCTGATAAAGCTACTTTCCAAACCATGGAGGAGAGACCCTCCCCTCTCCCAACACATATAAGACCATAGAAAATATTTAGATTATAAATCAAAGCAATGGTCCGCAATATGTATATTGGGCATACCATATTTAATATTGAATGTTTGATGAATTGATGCTTATCACATCATCTCGCTGAATGTGGTGCCTCTCTCAGTGTTCCACACATGCAGCAATGGCAAAGTGTATTGTGCCTCCATAATGGATGGGAACACGTGGAGTTTAGAACAAGGTCTGTTCTACCCATTCTATGTACACGTATAAGTCCCCCCAGGACCATATCTGCAGACCTGCCTAAAGTGGGATGTATCTTACCCCCCCCTCCCCCTAATCCTTCTTACCCCCTCTACACGGCCGTTTGGGGCGGTTAAAGTTCAGAATGGGCCACACGTTGTAAGGTGCAATGGAACACTGAGTCAATGAACTAACCCTGGTCCTGGAGAGCTACTGGGTGGGCAGGGTTTAGTTCCGGTCCCAGCATTAACACATCTGATTCAAGTAATGAATGATTGAATAAGGTAACTAGAGGCTGTACACACTGGTGCCCTCCAGGTGCCTCCAGGATTTACATTTTGCACTTTTGGTTTTCATCATCTTGACTGTTAATATCCTAAATATAATACTGTTTTATTATCTCTATGGTTACATGTTGTATGATGCATTGTCATGCTTGGGAGTTCTGTTGGCGTGGCGATGAGTACTGTATGCAGGCACTTCCTGTGCTGAAAGGTGGAACTTCCTGTTTCAGGAGCGTGGAGTGGGAGGGGATGGATCTTACCTGTGTTGATGTTTTTACATTTAAAAACAGATTAGTTTTCAGCTCAAGTTTATGTTTTGCTCTCTAACACACACACACACATATACACACAGGTTGATGTCAGTGCTGCTATAAGGTGAATGTAATCTAAAGATACTGTAGTTGTTACATATATCGGTAATAAGGTAGTGGGTCCCTGACCTGTACTAACTACATCCTATTGTAATCCATCACATACACACCCCAGATTGCACACACATATTCACTCCACATTTATGGGAGAAGGATGCACTTTCACATTATAAATGTAACCGTTTACACCAAATGAAAAATGTTCAGGTATGTATTCTGATTGAGTACTCTGTATGTGAAGCACGTCATCATCTTATGTGGCCAAAGCATTCGCTGCCTGAGGTTGGGAGGACTGGTTATCTATCCTGAGAAGGTTGGAGTCCTACGGTTGGCTCACTTCCCACACCTCACAGTGACGTCACCTGACTGGAACATACCGTTGCTGTGTTTTCTACTGGAAATGCACTGCGACAATAAACATGACTGTTTGAACTAAGATAGCTGATAATGGGCCTCTGTACGCCTATGTAGATATTCCATTTAAAAAAATCTGCCGTTTCCAGCTACAATAGCCATTTACAACATTAACAATGTCTACACTGTATTTCTGATCAATTTTATGTCATTTTAATGGACAAAAAAATAGCTTTTCTTTCGAAAACAAGGACATTTCTAAGTGACCCCAAACTTTTGAACGGTAGTGTGTATATATATATATATACAGTGGGGGAAAAAAGTATTTAGTCAGCCACCAATTGTGCAAGTTCTCCCACTTAAAAAGATGAGAGAGGCCTGTAATGTTAATCATAGGTACACGTCAACTATGACAGACAAAATGAGATTTTTTTTCTCCAGAAAATCACATTGTAGGATTTTTAATGAATTTATTTGCAAATTATGGTGGAAAATAAGTATTTGGTCAATAACAAAAGTTTCTCAATACTTTGTTATATACCCTTTGTAGGTCAAACGTTTTCTGTAAGTCTTCAAGGTTTTCACACACTGTTGCTGGTATTTTGGCCCATTCCTGCATGCAGATCTCCTCTAGAGCAGTGATGTTTTGGGGCTGTCGCTGGGCAACACAGACTTTCAACTCCCTCCAAAGATTTTCTATGGGGTTGAGATCTGGAGACTGGCTAGGCCACTCCAGGACCTTGAAATGCTTCTTACGAAGCCACTCCTTCGTTGCCCGGGCGGTGTGTTTGGGATCATTGTCATGCTGAAAGACCCAGCCACGTTTCATCTTCAATGCCCTTGCTGATGGAAGGAGGTTTTCACTCAAAATCTCATGATACATGGCCCCATTCATTCTTTCCTTTACACGGATCAGTCGTCCTGGTCCCTTTGCAGAAAAACAGCCCCAAAGCATGATGTTTCCACCCCCATGCTTCACAGTAGGTATGGTGTTCTTTGGATGCAACTCAGCATTCTTTGTCCTCCAAACACGACGAGTTTAGTTTTTACCAAAAAGTTATATTTTGGTTTCATCTGACCATATGACATTCTCCCAATCCTCTTCTGGATCATCCAAATGCACTCTAGCAAACTTTACACAGGCCTGGACATGTACTGGCTTAAGCAGGGGGACACGTCTGGCACTGCAGGATTTGAGTCCCTGGCGGCGTAGTGGGTTACTGATGGTAGGCTTTGTTACTTTGGTCCCAGCTCTCTGCAGGTCATTCACTAGGTCCCCCTGTGTGGTTGTGGGATTTTTGCTCACCGTTCTTGTGATCATTTTGACCCCACGGGGTGAGATCTTGCGTAGAGCCCCAGATCGAGGGAGATTATCAGTGGTCTTGTATGTCTTCCATTTCCTAATAATTGCTCCCACAGTTGATTTCTTCAAACCAAGCTGCTTACCTATTGCAGATTCAGTCTTCCCAGCCTGGTGCAGGTCTACAATTTTGTTTCTGGTGTCCTTTGACAGCTCTTTGGTCTTGGCCATAGTGGAGTTTGGAGTGTGACTGTTTGAGGTTGTGGACAGGTGTCTTTTATACTGATAACAAGTTCAATCAGGTGCCATTAATACAGGTAACGAGTGGAGGACAGAGGAGCCTCTTAAATAAGAAGTTACAGGTCTGTGAGTGCCAGAAATCTTGCTTGTTTTGACCAAATACTTATTTTCCACCATAATTTGCAAATAAATTCATTAAAAATCCTACAATGTTATTTTCTGTATTTTTTTTTCTCAATTTGTCTGTCATAGTTGACGTGTACCTATGATGAAAATTACAGGCCTCTCTCATCTTTTTAAGTGGGAGAACTTGCACAATTGGTGGCTGACTAAATACTTTTTTCCCCCACTGTATATATATATACACACACACACACACCTTTACATAAGTATTCAGACCCTTTGCTATAAGACTCGAAATTGAGCTCAGGTGCATCCTGTTTCCATTGATCATCCTTGAGATGTTTCTACAACTTCATTGGAGTCCACCTGTGGTCAATTCAATTGATTGGACATGATTTGGAAAGGCACACACCTGTCTATATAAGGTCCCACAGTTGACAGTGCATGTCAGAGCAAAAACCAAGCCATGAGGTCGAAGAATTGTCCGTAGAGCGCCGTGACAGGATTGTGTCGAGGCACTGATCTGGGGAAGGGTACCAAAACATTTCTGCAGCATTGAAGGTCCCCAAGAACACAGTGGCCTCCATCATTCTTAAATGGAAGAAGTTTGGAACCACCAATAATATTCCTAGAGCTGGCCGCCCGGCCAAACTGAGCAATCGGGAGAAGGACCTCAGGGAGGTGACCAAGAATCCGATGGTCACTCTGACAGAGCTCCAGAGTTCCTCTGTGGAGATGGTTGTCCTTCTGGAAGGTTCTCCCATCTCTGCAGCACTCCACCAATCAAGCCTTTATGGTAGAGCGGCCAGACGGAACCCTCTCCTCAGTAAAAGGCACATGACAGCCCGCTTGGAGTTTGCCAAAAGGCACCTAAAGGACTCTCAGACCATGAGAAACAAGATTCTCTGGTCTGATGAAATCAAGATTGAACACTTTGGCCTGAAAAACTGTTGTTGCCTCGTAATTATGGGGTATTGTTTGTAAATGTATGAGAAAAAACAAAATTCAAGGGGTCTGAATACTTTCCAAATGCACTGTAGACCTATAATCAAATATACAAACCACAATAATAAAATAACAACCACAAACTACTAAACATTTAGATTTTTCCTACAGCATTTCTTAAGGCTATTTCACTAAAAACACAGGGGCAAAAATCACTTCTACTCATTTGGAGTCCTGAAGTCAGGCTCTGTCCATATTTCACTATGTCTCCAATTGGTCCAGCTAACCATTACTGTGGTTACACTTGTAAATCAGTTCAGATTTCTACTCTATGTGGCCTTGTTCATACTTGGCACTAACATGCATCCTTGCCCACATTCTGATTGTGCCCACATTTTCAGATATGCGTCTACACATGCTATTAAAATGTGTCTCTCATCCGTCCACTGTGTCCGCATAGTGACCATATTTCCTCCCTCCCTGTATACTAATTATTTGCTGGATATTCTTTAAAAAATAATATTGATGAATTTATTTTAAGACACATTTATGCCATAAGTCAATGCTGCCACCTGTCAATGATTTAGAGCAGGGATGGGCAACTTTTATAAGGGTGGGGGCCACAAAGAATCTGAACTCATCATGAGGGGCTGCAGTTGCTCGCGGATCTGCGTACCCCCCCACATCATTTATTTTAAAAATCCTGCAATTCTACCCCTTTTGCCATAGGGTGGAGAGAAATGTTTGCAGTTTTTAGTATGATAAATGAGTGAGACTGACTAACAAAATCAATGGGAGCCCCCCGGCCGGTAATTAGACCACGATTAATACATTCAGATAGCTGGCCGCTTAACTAACTTAGCAATCTAAAACATGTTAGCTGACATGGCTAATTGACTGACTATCAGTGACTGACATAACAAGAGAGAAACT